CATGAGTGGCTAGGAGATCATTTATGTAACTCAGTTGGATGTATCCCTGCCTGTAGATGTCTGTGTAAGTGCAGTACTTGCCAGAAGTTTGTAGCTTGCCATCAACATCACAGTGTGAGGGATATCCCAGGCTGGTCGGTTTTGGAGGGCTCAGCGGTACCACAGTCCAGGTTGCACCGCAGTCACACCCATATATAAAGCTTTTTTTAACAATCATGTTTTTTAACCAAAATGGGAAGTTAGTCACAGGATCTCCTGTGGTTCCAAAGCAAGCTGTTTTTTCAGTGTGTGTTCTTATCATGCAGGTTCTTTTATGTAAAATATTGTGAGGTATTCTTGTGTTTTGTTTGCAAAACCCCATAGTCATAAATGGATTCTTACATAATTCATCTTAATAGGATTCTGTATATATAAAAACCCCACCCATTGCTTGGAAAGATACTGTGTAGTCAAGAATAAAACAATTGCTACTGCATCTTGCATAATTATAAGACTGCTGTTTAGTGAGCAGTCATATGTGTAGTTTCTTTGTGAGTTTGGTGCTTGTATCATTTCAAGAAGAATAATTAAAGTAAACTCTTTCGGCTCTTCAGTTTATGTTTGTAAAGTGCCCAGCACACTAGGCCCCGCACCTGGCTGAGGACTCTGGATGCTACTGCAATATAAAGGTTAAATAATAAGGCCCCAGTTATGCAAGTGAGTAACTCTCTAGTCCAGTTGAACTCCTTGGGCTACTCACATTCTTAAATGTTTTCAGGATAGAGGCTTAGATTTATGTTTTTGTTTTTTGTTTTTTAAAAACCACACCCCTCCAAATTTAAATTAAAAATAAATAAATAAATAAACCTGACTTAAATTAAAGGAGATGTCCTATCTCCTAGAACTGGAAGGGACCTTGAAAGGTCATTGAGTCCAGCCCCCTGCCTTCACTAGCAGGACCAAGTACTGATTTTGCCCTAGATCCCTAACTGGCCCCCTCAAGGACTGAGTTCTCAACTCTGGGGTTAGCAGGCTAATGCTCAAACCACTGAGCTATCCCTCCCCCCTGTTTCTTCCTCTATTTCCTTAACTTTCCTTGCCTATGTATGAAGACTTAGACCAGTGGATGGTTACACCAATCAGCTGTCCGTCCTAGGAATGTGATTTTAGAAATATATTGGACTCTTACTTTCTCTAATCTTATACTTGTGATATATTATAAGCAATTTATGTATAAATTCCTGTTAGTTTGTAAATTGGCTGCTAAAATCCAGTAATCCTACTTGAGGCTGTATATTTGCAGCATTCTCCTTTACAGTGATGTGAGCATAGAGGAGCCAGATTGTGTGGTGATCTGTGTATGTGTAAGCTTCAGGGTACGTCTGTTCAGCAGCTGGGAGCACGCCTTGAGCTTTGAGGGAGCAGAGTTCTGTGAGTCAAGTTGAAGTGTGTTCAGTATGGGAGGGTAGCAGCCAGGAACTATCCACATTTTGTATAAAATAAAAACTGGTCCGTCTCATGAGATTTCCAGATCAGTTTTGCAAAGCAGAGGGAGACGTGGATAAAATTCTGAACTCTGGGTACTTCTCCCATTGAACATTCAGAGGTTCACTTGATGCTGTTGAACCTCTCCCTTCTCCTGTTTGCGTATCTCTGTACATCTCAGTTTATATTGATATTATGGATGTGTTTATGCTTGGGAGACTAGTGATGACTAAGTATGTGAAAAGGAAGCAAGGTAGAAAGCAAAACATGTCACTAGTCCCATGAGCCATGCACCTAATATCCTTCCTAAAGCATAACTTGTTAAAATGAGAGTATATAAATACTGCACCGCACCCCAGGCATGTGTCAAATATCCCTTTAATTAGAACAGACTTTATGTCCTGGATCCCTTGTCACATGGAGTTGTATTTTTGTGTGTGATTATTTTAAAGAAAAAGTTGCCTCCCCTCTCCCACCCCTCAGCATAGCTCCCCTATTTTACAGGGATGACGACTTCTGGGTAAGTACAGACTCCATTCCTTAGGGTGCAGCTTGATTCCTGGGGGCAAATGCTCAGCTGCTGTAAATTGTCCTAGCTCCATCCAAGTCAATAGAGCTATGGCAGTTTCCACCAGCTGATGATTTGCCATCTGGTGTGTGTGGTATGTTTTAATATGTATATCAGCACAGTCTAACTAAAACAAAAGAACCAGATTACATGAGTTATGAAAATCGGCGAAGTGCAGAGCTCAGTGAACTGAAGAATAAGGTTGTTGGTGTTACCTGCTTGAATAAATCCTGTTTAGGGTCTTTCCCTTGTGGCAAAACAAGGAACATCACCAGATTCGAGGGAACAAGGTTTATGGACAGAAGAGCAATACAGCAGGGCAAAGTCCTAAAGCAGATGGTAGCAGAAGTATTTTCTACAGCTCTAGTATTGAGACTATTTTAATGGAATGCATGTATTACTTGCTGGCAAGCAGCAGATGCCGTCACAAGCTGGGACTCCTCCCACCTGCTTCGTTGCAACAATTCTGCAAGGTTTGTCTGAAAGGCAATGGCTACTCTATGTTTAGTAAACTTGATTGACTCTGATTTGCAATAAACTATTACTACTAGTTTTCCAGAGTGTTGTATGGAATGTTCACACATCCCAATCCACTTTCCAGTTGTGGTGGAGCAGGAGGGTGCCCCATTTGACAGGTGCAGGAGAATATATTAACAATTGTCCAGATAGTTTTAAAACTAGCTATGGAATGATGGTCAGCATTTTATTCTCCTCCCCCACAAATGCTGCTCTAAATATATTCTGAGGGCTAGTCAAAGCAGTCACAAGGTACAGACTGAGAGTGAGTGCCTTTAAGCTGGAGGCTACTTGAATGCAGGCTGGGTGGCTGGCATATATCTAGGTTTAGCTGCAATTGCTGTGAAGGATGTAAGAGAAATAGAAACCACTAAAGCTTGGTTAATGTAAATGTCTGAGAAGTGGGGAAAATCTAAGACTTTAAAATTGGTCAAAGAATTAGCATCTTCTAGAAAAATGAGGTAAGCTCCAAATTCAGCTTGTAGATGCCACAGCCCTGCCAAAGACCAAATCCCTCTCTTTTTTTGAGCTGTAATTGCACTTGCCACTGGCCTATTAAGGCAGCTGGAAATAAATATGTATGGCACTGAGGTGGCATCAGGTCACTGAGATAGTGTCTAATTTTAAACTCTGGAGCAGAAGCAACTTTTCGACAAAAGGGAAATGCAATTCCTCTGAGCTCGTTTTGGTTTTCTAAAGCATGGTTAAAATCTGGAATAATTATATTATTCAGTGTTGTCACAGAAGACTTCTTAAAATGTGCTGTGCTGTCCTGGGTTTGGTGACTGTGCAGGAACATCAGATGGAATTGATAATGAAGGCGAATTTTGGGAATAGCCGCAATGTTTGTTGTGGCTATTGATTGGAATTTGCTAGGCTGGTTTTAAATACTGTTGCTCTCTTTTGAACTTTGTGTATCGATTGCACATTGCAGATAAACAACCATCTGTGCTGAGTGAATATTTATTATGACTTGGAAGCAGACTAAGTAAGGACAGCCTTGAATTAGAGATGAGAGTTTAAATGATGGTTTTCTAGTAAGAAAGGTTTTCCCACTCTTGATTATTACAGTTTTATTTAAACAAGGGAGAGGGAGTCTAAATACGTGGATTTGTTTTTTCCATCTTTGAAAAAGTTCAAGGTCTGGAAAAAGGATTACAGAAAAGACACAGCCGAGTTTCTGTATTTTTTGTATGGTGCCAATAGTGTTTCCCTGCCTCAATTTGGAAACCTGTCAATTTTAAAATATATTAAATGGTTTTAGAAATCTAGACACAAATTGAACTTATTGATCATGGGACTGAGTCAATTTCAGTACACTCAGTGGGAGTCTTTCCACTGACATTTTAATGAGTTGGATTGGGCCTTGGCTCTCATTGTTAATGTCCATTCAGTAAATGGAAAGGTCTGGATTGATACCTTTTCAGTGTCTAGAAGAAGCCCTGTACATTTCTACTGGAACCCAAGGAATCCCCCTATTTACTTACATCTCCCTGTACTTTTAAGGTTCTATGGAGTGGTCAAGAAGTACTGGAAAATGCATTTTTGGCTGGAAGACTTGCCGCGGTATAGTGCAAGGAACTTCTTTCCTTCCCTATTTTATCCAGAGGTTCTGAATATGCTTCGTATGCAGTACTCCTAGTATTTATCCCTACTGACAGGGAAGAATGAGACTGGTACCAGTAATGAAAGCAATGCAGACAGCAACCCATCCCATATAGCAATGCAGACAGCAACCACTGAGGCACTTGTCCTTCTGTTTTTATTAATACGTTCAGTTTCATAGGCTCCATAATGCATCCTACAAGTACATTTCTAGGGGATTATTGCATATCTTGGGTGGTTAACGTCACTCAGTCCTTGACTTCATACCTTATTAAAAGCACCTGAGACATTCTATAAATGCTGAGAAAGGCACTTATTTATCTCATAATGAAAAGACTTTGTTAGCTATTTATTTTGGAAGCATACTTACTTGGTCCATCCTTACAACAAACACACACAAAACTAATTTGCTGGAAGTTGGTTTTGCTCAGCAAAGTAACTATGGATTTTAACATGCAGTGGTTTTTTATTTTATTTTGAATGAGTAAATAGCTAAATGTAAACTTTTATAATCAGTGACAATTTATTAATGTAAACTCCCTCCCCCATCCCTGCCAAAAAAAAGACTTGTGAGGTTGTAAAAGGATGGAATTTTAGCAATGCAGAAGAGTTAAATGAATAACTCCAGTTATGATGGTGACACTTACAAAAATAGTTAAAACTATTTTCTTTTTAAACACTTAACCTGCTCCACTTGCCTGTAGAGTAAGTTTGTTCTTTTTTTGTGTATTTAAAAAAAAGAAGGCAGAATCATAATTCATATTACCACCTGATCAGTGAATTTTTCTACTGAAGTTCAGATATCTGTACCTTGTGAATTTATTATTGTTCTTTCTTTCATTTGCAGGATACTGGGGTTGGGAAATCAAGTATAGTTTGTCGATTTGTCCAGGATCATTTTGATCACAATATTAGCCCTACTATTGGGTAAGTACCCTGTCTAATCTTTTCCTTGAAATGTTTCACTGCTGCCAAAATCATCATCTTACTTCTGTCTAAAGTGTCTTCTCTTCCCTATGTTCAAGACTATGCATAACTCCCCTACATTTCCCCCTCACTTCTTTGATGCCCTGTTCTGCTCTCCACACTTCACTAACTTCTCTTTTTTTTTCTTTTTTTGTGTGTGTGCCTTCTTGCCTCGCTCTCTGCTCATGTTATTCCTTACATTTAGAATAGCCTCTCCATTAATAGTCAGAAAGCGTCTTTCTTCCCTCTCAACAACTCCTGAACAGTCACCTGATTTGTGAAGCTGATACGCACACACATACTACTCTGTGTTTTGTATTGTACAGACTCATGATTGGAAGCTTTTTACCCTCTGTTAAGCTCTGAGTACAACTATGAGATAATATAAATAATGCTGGGTTTGAGTCTACTGTCTGGGTGATGATACATATGCCACTAAATGTCCCCTTTCAATGTGCTAGAGTGACTAGGAAACCTGAGTAAGTCAGGACCAGATTGTTCAGTTCTCATGGAAAGCAGGATAGGACGTGAGGCCAAATTCTGCTCTTATAATTAAATATGGAGTTGTTCTAGATTTGCACCGATGTAAATGAACAGAACCTGAGCTGTTGTTTCCTATTCTAGGAGTCATGGACCCAATAAATTCAGATAAATTAATTTCTCTGTTACCACTCTCCTTTTAAGTCATCCTCTTCTTCATGGTAGCACCCATCCCTCACCAACAGCCTCTTAGCTCCCTCTATTGCACTGTGTGAGTTTCCTTTTTACTTGTCAAGAGCTTCTAGTTTCAAATGATGTCTTGGACTGTACAACATTGATGTAGGTCTCGAAATATAGGACTAAATTCAGCCTTGACATAAGTTCAGTTTCCATTGAAGTCAATAGGATTTGCACTTACTTAACTTCAGGGCTGAATCTGAAGTTTTGAATTTAAGAAACCATGACCTATTCTAAATGATGTTCACCAACACACATACAACAAAATAATGGTATTAAGAATTTTACGAGTGAAGGATTCCTTAGAGTTCTAAGGTGTAGGTACTGTCAAACAAGGCATGAGTATTAAAAGTACCTGCTTCCACATGCAGCAAAGCTTTCTTTATTCCCGAGAATTCTGCACCAAAAAATTAAAACTTCTCCACACAATATTTTAAAGTTCTGCAATAACTAAATGTGGAGGCTCCAGCATGGCAGTGGGGAGCATAGGCCACTGGTTGCACGAAGGTGGGAGATCACCCTGCAACCGACCCCCCTCCTCAGGAAACGGACTCAGCGGTGAGGCTGCACCTAATCCTTACACAGCGCAAGGGCCGGACCTGTCCCCCAAACACCCCAGGGCCCTGCCCCTTTGCACCAGGCGTGAGCAGGCAGGCTCAGCCTGGCAGGATCCAAGTGTGGAGGGGGTCAGTGTGGGAGGATACAAGTGTGGGGTGAGAGGGTTCTGTGTGGGGTAATCTGGGTGCAGGCAACTCAGTGCATGGGCCAGGTGTGGAGGGATCTTGATGCACAGGGGCACATTGAGGGGTTCCAGGTGCAGGGGCAATGGGACTCTGCAGCGGGATCCAGGTGTAGGAGGATAGGGATCAGCAGTGGGGGGTCTGGGTGTGGGGGGCTCAGCAGGGGGGGTCCAGGTGCAGCTGGTTGGGGCTCAGTGGGGTGGGGGTCTGCATGTGGGGGGCTCATGGGGTGATCCAGGTGCAAAGGTGGTGGGGCTCATGGAGGTGAGGGTTCAAGTCTGGGGGGTGGTCTGGATGCAAGGGGTGAGGCTCGGTGGGGTGGAGGTTCAGGTACGGGTGGTTGAGGCTCGGCAGGGGGGTCTGGATACACGGGGGTTTGGCTCCCCATACAGTGCCCCTCCCCCCATGGTTGAGGAGCAGTGGGGGAAGGGAGGTCAGTGCAGAGCTTTCTGAAGCCAGGGAAGGTTTCTGGGGGTGGGTCTGACCTGGACCCAGCCACTCCTTGCAGGGGAAGCGCAAGTCCCGTCCTCCCTCACCCCCAGACAGCTAAGACTTGCAGCTGAGTCTGGCGCAGGGTAGAAGCCACTGGCAAGGGCATTCCCAGCCCTACCCCCAGCAGTAATTTACCTCTCCGCTAGCTGCTCCAGGCACCCGAAATGATGTGCCTGTGCTGCTGGGGAGGGGCATGTGACCAGTCCCTTTGCTTCCCCATCAGAAACTCATTTTTCTGTGGAGAAGCAAAGAAATCTGCAGGGCACATGAATTCTGTGCTCGCGCAGTGGTGCAGAATTCTCCCCGAGTAGAATGTCTTCTAGGTTTATAATGCATCACATTCTTAGGTTTTAATAAGACAGGATAATGCAGCATAATCAGACCAAATATAATTCATCTGCATCTATTTTTCACAGAAACTGCAGAGCTTCTAAATCCAAAGCATCACAAGCTAGCTCCTGTCAGTCATTTTACTGAGTTTAATTCAGAGATCTCTTCTTTCCAACACTTATGGCCAAATCCTCAGCCCTGCATCAGTTGGAAAACTCTGAAGACACTTGACTTCCCTAGGGCAGAGGAAGCTAATACACCTTGTCCACGTATGAATTATTTGGGTGTGAACAGTTGCTCTTGTTTTGTAATTATTCTACTTTAAATTCCTTATGAAGAGTAAGCTTTATTTGTGTTTGATGTTGAGGTGGCTAAAAGCTTTCAGCTGTAACATGTTGACCTTTGCCTTTGGATGCACAATTGGAGTCCCAGCTGGGGATTTTATGACCAGATTCCAATACAGTTTTGGATGACTGAATTTAACAAATGGAGGAAGCTGGGCAGAGAGGAAGGGGCAAGGAAGAACATCGTCACTGGCGATATTGATTAGGAAGACATTTGCTCATAGTGATGAAATTAATGGGAACCTAGTGGTCCTTTAGTTCTAAACCACTGTCAATCCTTTATAAGTAAAGATATTCTACCCATATGAGAAGAAAATAGAAACTTTTCATAATTGTCATGTTTAGGGGGAAAAGATTGTATATTTGGGGGGAAAAAAAACCTTTGTCACATTAATGTACTGAGTTAAATATTGCTAATATGTTTTGTTACCTTATGTTTTCTAAGTAGGACTACTACGTAGGTAAGGATTTTTTTTTGCCAGATGAACTAATGTTCTAAATCCACAATTCTAGTGACCTCCTGTAGCTGCTGGTGTTCTGAACTTCCTGTTTTCAAAGCTATGAAGTGTTGCATAATAAAAAAAATGATAGTTGGAAACATACACCCACAAAATAACCAAAGAAAATACTGCTCTTCCTGTGTTACTTAATCTTTTTGTATCCAATGGAACACTGTTTGAATTGAGCAATTTACAGATGGCTATCCAGGGAACCTCTGGTGTATCTTTCCTAGAAAATGTTTCGAAAACACATGCCATGTGATGTAATCCGGTGTATTTCTAATGCAAAACACATCCTATCAGATGCCTCTTTATATGTCAGGGATAAAAGTTATCTTTGCAAGAATGGTTCAGCAGTGTCTAGAAAGAAACACAATTCTACCAGAGCCTGGGCAATCTCTTTCAGGCCTCCTTCAGCTCAAACACTGTTGTACAGAGCAAACCTATAAATGTCTAGCATTCATTTTTTAAAGGGATACAATTTTGAAAAATCATATTTCCCTCTGAAAAAATTCTACCTATTATTGTTAGAAGTAACAACTAACATTGTTATGCCCAAGATTGAAGGGGATGTGGGGGCGGGACTTTTTGGTTTGTTTACATTGTACTTTTGGCAACACTTTGTGTATAGTCTGTTCCGCTGTTTTGTTGCTAGTCACTTACTTTTCCTGTCTTGTACACTAGCATATGAAATCACTCATTCACTGCTTGGTGGGGTGATAACATGTACACTTATCCCACTCCTTGCAAGAGGATGTTCACCAGGATCAGCAACAACAACTAAAAGAACCTGAAATGCCAGCTGCCCAATGGACAGGCATGTGCACAGAGAAGAAAGGAGGTATGGGCCCCAGGCACGTTTGGTGCCGGTGCTCTTGAGCCTAACCAGGAGGATCCCTCTAAACCTCACCAGAGGAAAAGAGAAATCCTAATTTGCATAAACATAAATAAATCCAGGGGATACTATTGAATGGACGCTGTACCAGAAAATGACTTTTTCCCACCCTAAGTGGCCTGGCCTAACCAAACAAACCTGCCCAAAGTCTAGAGTTGATATATTTGGAATATAGGTCCGGTGAATTTCATTTGTTAATCTCGCAGTGGGTTTAGATCTGAATAACAAACAGTTGGTACTTCTCATTTCAGTGCATCCTTCATGACTAAAACTGTGCCTTGTGGGAATGAGCTTCATAAATTTCTGATCTGGGATACAGCTGGTCAGGAGCGGGTGAGTATCACTGTGTGATATGTTCTGTTAAAATATTTAATACTATTATGCCATTTTTCATCTTCACAGGTCTTTAACAAACATGTTTAATGAATTCTCACATTACCTTGTGAAGTATGTCTCAGTAACTAAGTATTACTATTCCCATTTCACAGATGGGAAAACAGAGGCAAGCAGGTTAAATGACTTGCCTAAAAGCAGAGACCACTGGATCAAGTTTCAATTCTCTGCCCTCTTCTACAAAGCCCTGTGGAACTCATCTTCTGTCTGTATATTGATTTATGGGCTGATTCTGATCTCCTATTCTAGAGGGTCACATAGTTTGAGCGCAGTTGTACACACCACAGCCACAACTCCCTGTGTGCCACCCTCCTATCACCCTCTATTTGAGGGACTCCCTGCAACGCCTCCCTTCATCCCCACCATTCTCCCATCTACCACATGCCCGGAGCTCTGCATGGCCTCCATTTCCCCCTGTCTTGCATGCCCCTGCATTATCCATTTCCCCCAAGGCAGGGGCTTTGTGTGTTTTCCCTCATTCCCCCTCTGCCACATGGCAGGGGTTGTGTGTGTGCTCCCCATTTACTCTTCCCCACATGCCAGCAGGGGTGCTGGAACAATTTGTATAGTGGGGATGCTGAGATACATTGAATCAAACTGTAAACCCTGCATATGATGGAAACCACTTCAAGCCAAGGGGTGTGACAGCATCCCTAGTTCCAGCACATATGTATGCCAACAACCCCCATTCTTCCCTCACATTCTGTGCCCCCAACCCCCATTTCCCACCACTATTGTTTCTTTTCTTTCTGTCTGGGAGATAAATCATTCAGGGTGTCAGCATTTTAAAACTGTATTGGGGCCTTTATCAGAGCTGAGATGAGGGGTGTTGTTATGCTGGATGGCGTTAATGGCTGTCATCAACCAGTTCTTTGATTTATAGACTATGACAATGGTGGGTGAAGCTGTGCTGGTTCTGCTAACCAGATACCAGGGCTCCACCTGTCCCACATTTTCTCCTTTCTGTTTTCTAGTTTTCACCAAAATCAGTAGAATTCTGCCTATTGATGTTTAGAACTTCCCTTGAAGTTTTGGAATTTGATGGGATGCAGCATTCCAAAGTTTTCACATTATGTACAAACAAACACAAACAGAAAAATGTCGTTGAGTGTCTGGTCATACTTGACACAACCACTACCCAAGGGGTTGTGAAAAGGGGGTATTGTGTGTGCCAGGTCTGACTCCTGAGAATGCCCCTATACTGGGCCAAAATCCAGGTAATCCGTTAAGCTGGCTTCACTGAATGCCCCCTTTGCACTGTCAGAATGACACATAAGAGGTATGGGAAGCAAGCTGAAGAAGGGTTTTGTGCAGCAGGATTTGGCCCAGTGGATTTATACTGGTGTAAGAAAACTGATCAAGCTCCTAGCTTCTTATTACACTATCCCATTGCCTTCTCTGCTCTGCTAATAATGCCAGTTTAAGCCTTGATGTCCTGTTTGTCTGCCTAAAGTTGTCTCCTTGCCCTTTTGCATGCTGCCTTTATGCATACAATTTCTTGCACCCTGGTAATGAAGTGGGGAATAAATTATCTGTAGACTCTCACTGTCCCTACAACACTCTGACCTGCTTCTTCCTTACTGTCTGAGGCCAACTTTTTATCACCTTTAACTTGTTCATCTGGGGTTTCACTATGCTTCTCCCTGTGATGTACCCAAGGTATTTGGCTTTAGCTAACCCTACTGCACATTTGGATGGGTTAGCTATGAGATCCATTTTTCTCAGGGTATCCAGTACTGCTTCAGCCTTTTCCAGATCTGTCCCCCAGTCTTGGCTGTGTATGATCACATTGTGCAAGTAAGTGGCTGCATACCTGGTACATGGGCGTAATAGCTTATCAGTGAGGTGTTGGAAGGTTTCTGGTGCCCCATGCAATCCAAAATGGAGGAACCTGTACTGGTCTAAGCCTTCTGGTGTAGAAAAAGCAGTCTCCTCTTTGGCACCCTCTGCTTGAGGGATTTGCTAATAGCCTTTGGACAGGTTGAGGGTAGACAAGAATCTTGCTTTTCCCAACTGGTCTATGAGCTCATCTGTCTGAGGTATGGGGTAGGAAACAAACTGGGACAAATCATTAAATTTTCAGAAATCATTGTAGAACCTCGTGGTACCATCTGGTTTAGATACCAGAATGATTGGGCTGGACCACTAATTATGGAAAACTTTGGCTCTCTGCTCCAACATCTTCTTAATTTCTGTACTGATTTCCTCCCTTTTATCCTCAGGGATCCTGTATGGTTTAAGCTTCACATTCACTCCTGGATTTGTGATGTGCTTCTGTGATTCTGGCTGGCTTCTCTGAAAACAAATCTTGGTTTCATTCAATCATCTTGACAACTTCTAGAAGCTGTACAGGGGTAACTCTGGAGATATTTTGACTCATTCCCGAGGCTTATTTTCCTGCAGTAGTGTCTCTAGAGTGACCACATAAGTTTCTGTGTGTTGCCAGAGTTTGAATAGGTTGATGGTTTGCTCCTGCTTTGGCCTCTATTACTTTGTATGGCTCCTGCCATATGGCCAATTGCTTGCTTTCCATCGTGGGCACCAACACCTTTACCTGAACAGAAGTCTGGAATTTCTAAGCCCTTGCTTGTCAATTATAATAGGCTTGTTGGGCCTTCTGTGGCTTTTTCCATATGTTCCTGCACTACTGGGATGACTTGGGATATTCTGTCCTGCATCTGCATGACATGTTCAGTGACATTGGTTCCTTGATTAGGCTGTTCCTCCCAATCCTCCTTGGCAATGTCCAATATGCCACAGGCATAGTGACCATATAACTAGGGTGACCAGATGTCCTGATATTAGGGGTGTATTGTCTTATTTAGGTAACCTATCACCCCCCTCCTCCGGTCCTGATATTTCACACTTTGTATCTGGTCACCCTACGGGGTACTTCCCTTATAGCAAACATTGGGTAGAGTAGCAAGGTATCCCAGTTTTTCCCATCTTGACTTGCTACTTTCTATATCATGCTCTTCAGTGTTCTGCTGAAGCATTTGACCAGGCCATCAGTCCGGATAGTAAACTGAAGTGCACAGGGCCCGTATTCAATGCATCACACACAGCTCCTTCATCAACTTTGATACAAAGGGAATCTCTTGATCTATCAGAATCTCCTTGGATATTTCCATTACCATCTCATAATAGGGCTTCTGGTCCTCTCCACACAGTAAGGGAGTGAGGCCAGGAATGTCACAGAGCTGTTCTTCCAAACATGAGGAGATATGCCTTGATGTCACTTGTCATCTTTTGTAGGTAGCTGCTAGCCTTTACGGATCGAGTTCCATCATGGCCACCTCCTGTAGCAGTCAGGGCATTAGCTGTCTCACACTACTTCCTGTAGGATGGCTTGGTCCCATGTTGCCTAGTTTATCAGCAGTTAGTTTGTCTCCTGCTATATTTGTACAGACTCCTCCTGTGCAGCCACCTGGACTCTGGTAGCATCCTGTTGTGCTGCAGTGCCCTGCACCAGCACCCTCATCGTGTCATCCATTCTCCAGAATGGATTCTGGGATAGTCTGCTGTGCCAAATCCCACCTCTGATGCCACATGTGGCAACACACTTTTCATCGGGTCAAAACTCAATGTCTGTCCCTCTGGCGTTGGGGGCGGAGAAGGGGCCTGGAGTAAATCACACCTGCTTTAGAGGTTTGATTCTTAATGTTGGTTTATTTACGATATTTACAGGGTAGGCCCTAGGGTTGGCCCTGTAAGTTTCTTTAAACAACAAAAAATATGTTTCCCAACTCTCCTGGAGTAGTGCCTCCAATGTTGATAACTAAGGCTACATTTCAGTCATGGGTATTTTTAGTAAAAGTCACGGACAGGTCACGGCAGTAAACAAAAATTCATGGCCCGTGGCCTGTCCATGACTTTTACCAAAAATACTAGTGAATAAAACTTGGGGGGGGGGGCTGCCTGGGGGCCCCACGGGTGCTGGAGGAGGGTGGCCCGGGTGCTGGGGGGTTGCGGGGGGAACGGCCACGGGCAGCGGTGCGCGGCCCAGGACCCCTGCTGGTGCCGGAGGGAGAGTGTGGGTGGCAGGGCTGGCAGGCTCCCTACCTGGCTCCGCGCCTTCCCCCTCCAGCAGCTGAGTTTGGGTGTGGGAGGGGGCAGGGGGTTGGGGCACGGGACGGAGTGAGGCAGGCTCTGGGCAGCGTTTATCTGGGGGCTCCCCGGAAGTGGCAACATCCTCCTTGCTCAGCTGCTAGGTGGAGGCGTGGCCAGACAGCCCTGCACGCTGCCTCTGCCTGCACCGCCCCCACAGCTCCCATTGGCTGCCTCCCAACCAATGGGAGTTGTGAGGGCGGTGCCCTGGGTGGAGGCAGCATGCAGAGCTGCCTGGCCATGCCTCTGCCTAGCAGCTGAGCAAGGGAGATGTCGCCACTTCCCTGGAGCCTCCCAGGTAAGCGCCACCCAGACCCTGCTTCACTCTGTCCCGTGCCTCAACCCCGTGCCCTCTCCCACACCCAGACTCTGCTGCGGGGGCCCGAGACTGCCCCAGCAGCAGCCAGTGCGCCTGGCACAGGGGCTGCCTGAGCTGCTCCTGAGCCAGGCTCACTGGCTGCTGCAAAAGTCATTGAGGTAACGGAAAGTCACGGAATCCGTGACTTCTGTGACCTCCATGACAAACTTGCAGCCTTACTGATAATCAGTTGCCCACTCGGGGCCCAGTTACGCTGGGAAACAAGGCCCCCTCCCCAAACAGAAATAAACACAAGATTTCCTTTATAGAGAAAACAGCTCTTTACCTAGGAGAAGCCTTTTCCCCTTACGGCACACAACCCTTTTGCAGCTTGCTTCTCCTCTCTCTCACTGGAAGAGGTTTTCAAAGGTCAGAGGCTGCCTTAATTGGATTCAGGTGTCCATGATTAACTTGAGGTAACCTCTTTCAGTTCATAGGGAAAAGGGCTTTAACTATTCTAACATTAATATGCCTG